GATTTTCAGCAATTTATTTGTATCAAAATACATTAAAACTGTGTGTCTTGAGGAGGGAAATACCTTTAAGAATGTGTATTTGAAATTCAAGTGTGAATATCCCATGTGGATTTCAATAAAATCACAGACTCAGTCTGAATGAGTTGTACCCAACTAAGTTCTACCCAGCATAGAACCACAGGATGATCTTCGGTCCAATAATTTCAATGGGTCTACTCTGTGTAGAACTTGTTTGATACAACTCAATGGACTTCAGGGTGAGCACATTTTAAAGGGAAACCAACAAGAAAAGTTTGATTCAATAAAAAAAAGTTTTTCCAATTATCCCAAATCACATCTTCCTATTAACAAATAGGGAAGGCAAACTGAGAGGTTGTAATGAGTGGGGAAATTGTGTGAGGGATGCGGGTGGTGCTGTGGGTTAAACCACAGAGCCCAGGACTTGCTGATCAGAAGGTCAGCGGTTCGAATCCCCGCAACGGGGTGAGCTCCCATTGTTCAGTCCCTGCTCCTGCCAATCTAGCAGTTCGAAAGCACGTCAAAGTGCAAGTAGATTAATAGGTACCGCTCCGGCAGGAAGGTAAATGGCGTTTCCGTGCCCTGCTCTGGTTCACCAGAAGCGGCTTAGTCATGCTGGCCACATGACCCAGAAGCTGTATGCCGGCTCCCTTGGCCAATAAAGCGAGATGAGTGCCGCAACCCCAGAGTCGGCCACGACTGCACCTAATGGTCAGGGGTCCCTTTACCTTTATTGAAGCTGCCATGTCTCTTATTGGAGCACACACACCCCTTCATTCACAATGAGTGTGGAGATGTAGATGCTAAAATAGTGTCAAGGGAGCTTTTGGCATTTGTAAGAACCCAACTCTTATGACATTTGCTCCCACAGGAGGAAGTGATGTCCATCAGCTTTGATGGTTTTAAAAGAGGATACAACAAATTTACAGAGGTAGAGGCTATCAGTGGCTACCAGCCATGATGGCTATTCTCTGCCTCTGCAGTTGCTGGACGCCACAGGAGAGGAGAGTGCTGTTCCTGCTTGCAGATTTCCTACAGCCATCCAGTTGGCCACTGTCAGAACAGGTTATTGGAGTAGATGGGCCATTAGTCTGATCCAACAGGCTCTTCTTATGTTCTTAACCCTAAACATTTTCTAGAATCATGGTTTTCTTCTTGTTTAAGTTCACCTTTATCAGTCAGGATTAATGCATTCTTAATGAGCTTTTGTTTTTTTAATATTGTACAACTTTAATTGGTTTGTTGTTTTATTGTGATGAGATTTTAAAATTGTTTTCCCCAAGCTCTGATCTCTAGAGAAGAGATGACATGGAAATCAAAACAAATAACCTCACACATGAGGGAGATAAAAAATGAAAGATACTTTTTCCTAAGCTGTGAATCAAAGAGTACTGAACACAAAAGATAACTATTAAGGAATTAACCAAACATACTAGATGGCTAAGTGCTCCAGTGTGTCAACAGTAGAGCATTAGCTTAACTGACTTGTTTTTTATATGAATAAAGTAAATGAAATAATAAAATATTTTGGTTAAATTCTAGGCCTCTTCCTGTCAGGAAAACCTATTTATTTCCCAAATCCAAACTAACAGAGGTTTTGGTTTCTTTATTTTTCCGGATGTGTTTTTCTATTTGCATTATGACTGTCATCTAGTACACAGTATGTGCACCTAAATTCAATTCAATTTTACATAACATTCTAATGATGTATTACAATGTTTACACTATGATGGAGAAATGGCGATGGCCACCTATTGTTCACACACGCCCTCAAGTGAAGATTCATGAGAAATGTAAAGATCACAATTTTTATTAAAGATCTGTAAATAACAAATATCTGTGGGCTTGTAATTTGCATAGAGGCAGTGCTTTTTCTGGGGGGGGGGGGGATACAAGGGGACACATACCCCCAAACATTTTGTGAATCTTTGTACTTTTGTCCATTTACTTTATTTATTTTTCCTGATTTGAACTATAAAATGGTAATTTTCTTGAGTCAAAATGTGAGTACCCCTAAACATTTTTTAAGGAAAAAAAGCACTGCACAGAGGATAAAGCTTATGCAAATGTCATTATATCTTATCACAGATAATATCACCTTTCTCAACCCTCAGCACAATTTAAGTGGCATTCTGTTTGCCCATTAACCACGAAGATGAGCTGAAGGTACCCCTGCTTCCTCACCCTTTCCCCACTGTTCAGCATTCAGCAAGACTGTTGCTTCAGGTCCCAATAATCTCTAATCAAACATACTGAGGTGATTGGTCAGATATCCTTCACCCAAGTGTGCCTCAAGATGCTTACCCGATATCCATAATAATTCCCAGCCTGCCCTAAATACCAAATTGTGAAAGTAAGATAAGGCCAAATCATTCACACATACCACAAATATGAATGATGCAGAGTAAGTGAATAACTGTGTAAGACTAATAAGGGTCACCCCCCAATCATAACCCATAGCCCAAAGGCTACTCCTGCAGTGCTCACAGCATAGGTTGCTGCCAAGTAATTGGGGAAGAGGACTCATAGTGCTTCCCTTATAAAGAGAGCAATGTAGCGAATCCGCCCGATTAATACCACCCATTAATAATGCGGTAGATCCACTTCTACGAACTGCCCCCAATTAAATATAGTGCACCCACCTCACGGTACACCAATTACACAAATTTCTACAATTTACCACAGATTATCTAGTGAGGGACTTGTGTGAGTCTGAGGCAGGAGTTGATCAAACGAACAAAAGTTTTATTAAACAAAAATAAGTTTATGAAACTAAGCGGATAAGGAAATGAGTTCTTTCAGGTAGAAGCTAACTTATTTACTTTAACTAAGTACAGTGGTGCCCCGCAAGACGAATGCCTCGCAAGACGGAAAAACCGCTAGACGAAAGGGTTTTCCGTTTTGAAGTTGCTTCGCAGGACGAATTCCCCTATGGGCTTGCTTCGCAAGACGAAAATGTCTTGCGAGTCTTGAGAATTTATTTTCGCTTTCCCCCCCCCTTTATCTAATCTGCTAAGACTTTAATAGCCTTTAATAGCCTTTTAGCAGCTAATCCCCTAAGCCTTTAAGCCTTTAATAGCCGCTAAACAGCTGATAGCGCTAATAGCGCTAATCCGTCAATGGGCTTGCTTCGCAAGACGAAAAAACCGCTAGACGAAGACTCTTGCGGAACGGATTAATTTCGTCTTGCGAGGCACCACTGTATAAGATTTCTCAGGCTTAAAGACAATACTATAGGCACAACTCTTCTTAAACTTCAGCTACTAAAAATCACTTGGTACACTTCAGGTAGATAAATATTCAGGTTTCCAGAATAGATGGTAAAATGCTCAACTTAGTTTCTCACTTAGATATTACAATTAAATACTTTCAATACCATACCACTTCCTTCACAGCTTAATACTTTGGTTCATGAATGAGGGACACTTCTCCTCAGTTACCCACTCTCTTAACAATCCAATGTGTTGTATTATAAATGGTATAACAGACTTTTTACTGGGTTTTACTGGTCTTCAGTACCTAGAAGAACTCTCCCTTCCTGGCTATACTGACACCCAGGTAGCCTGTACTCCCACAAGATCAACCTCTCCCAGTTCAGTCACAGCCCTCCCAGGACACTTCTGTCTGTATACCTTCCCCAGACCCTCAACATGGTCTCCCTATCCAAGCTGTGAGGCTCTGTCCTCTTGCTATGGATAGTCTCCTCAGTGTGGATGTTTAACTGAACTCAGGACCAGTTCTCCCTACCTCCCAACCTGAAACATGTCTAATATCTCAAATCAAATCCTACCCCTCTTTTCAAATCCAGCCCCACCTCTCATCTTAAATCCAGCCTTATCTAACTCTCTCCCTCAGAAACTGCTCCTTTTATTCTTCCCCCCAAAATGCTGTTCTTCCCCGCTCTGGCGTGGTCTGGCTCTGCTGTCCATCACAGGAGCATCTGCCCACCTTCCCATGGCCACAAATGTGGTATGATGCCCTTACTTGACCGTCTCCCCAATGGATGAAGCCCACTTGAGTCTTCCGCTAGGCTTAGGGCATGGAACAAATGTGCCATCATGCAAATGGCAGTGGAGTAGCCAGGCTGCTACCTCATTGAAAACCACAATACAGACTTGCCTCAATACCTATTGAATATACAAAAACCAGAGGACATGTGGTGTCCAATACATCCAATGTACTAAGCTTAAATGTTAAAGGTACCCCTGCCCGTATGGGCCAGTTGTGTCCGACTCTAGGGTTGTGCGCTCATCTCGCTCAAGAGGCCGGGAGCCAGCGCTGTCCGAAGACACTTCCGGGTCACGTGGCCAGCGTGACTAAGCTGCATCTGGCGAGCCAGCACCAGCACAGCACACGGAAATGCCGTTTACCTTCCCGCTATAAAGCGGTACCTATTTATCTACTTGCACTTAGGGGTGCTTTCGAACTGCTAGGTGGGCAGGAGCTGGGACCGAACAACAGGAGCTCACCCCGCCACGGGGATTCGAACCGCCGACCTTACGATCAGCAAGTCCTAGGCACTGAGGTTTTACCCACAGCGCCACCCGCGTCCGCTTAAATGTTACCTGAGAACAAACTGGAACCCCTGCAAGTGCAATGGAAATCTGCTTGCATAATTGGACTTCTGATCCCCTCCCCACTTTCAGCAATCCCACACCCCTCAAATCCACCAGCTCTTTGGAGAGATTTTGGAGCTTTATAGAGTTACATAGGGTAGGAGAGGAAGAAGAGGTTCCATTGAGCAAGTGGACACCACGTGCTGCATTGGATTTCAACCTACACAGTTAGAATTGCATCAGACTACAATTGATTAAGCAATTAAATATTCTTCTCTTTCCCTCTCAATGCAGCCTGCCATATCCATCTCTCACTCCTTCATGAGCTGTTTTTCTTTTTTTAACAAAGCACACACCCCCTCTGATCCTTCTCCTTAGCTTATGATAATTTAAGGTAAGAGCCAATAAAATGCAGTCTGGTGTACCTGGAGATGCTGGGGATTGAACCCTGGACCTTCTGAATTCAAAGCAGATGCTCTACAACTGAGCTGCAGTCCTTCCCCGAACTTTTTATGAAGCCAGGTGGCAATGGATATTCAGCATTTCTCAAATATATGGTGTCAGATGATTGATTTCCTCTCGGCGTGAAATGAGCTATATTGACATTGCTAAGTAAACATGGATCTTTGCTTAACCAAGAATAAACTTTTTAGATGATTGCACAGCATAAATCAGATGTATTTAGCTTACAGATTTCATACTGCCAGTTCTGTTATGCATAGCAATGATCAAACAGAAAAAATCAACAGAAATGGGAATGGAAATAAACATTGCAAATTTGCCCTCCTGAATTTCTTTCAGATAGTGGTGGATGCAGGATTGCACACGTATAGTAATGTTTAATTATTTTTTATTATATCTCTAATTTACTAGTTTATATATACTAGTTTATAGTACCCTAATCACACTCTCAGTTCGAAAAGTAGATTACAAAGGAAGTTTAGAAGAGCATCTGTGTTGACACATAAACCCACAGTCATGTTGAGGCTGCCTTCTGTTTGTATCTGTAGGAAGAATTTATTTTAGAGCTGAGCCAAAGTTTTCCAGAAAAAGGGATTTCTGATGATGAAGAAGAAGATTATTTCTTTTGTTCTCCTGAATTGTTGGAGAATTTCAATCCTCCCTGGGAACGTATCTGGCATACTATTTGTACACTTTTGCCACTTAAGAATAGGGCAAAAAATTGGGAAGCAACTGTGGATACAGTTTCAACAGTCAAATATTATTGTTAGCTCATATTGGTGGATGAAGGAAGCAATGGGCTTGGTCCTTCCCCTTCATGTCCTCCTCTTTTAGCCCACTAATTCCTTTGTCCACCAATATGAACTAACAACGAAGAGTTTCAGTCAACATTACGTGAGCTGAAATTTCTTAGATAAGAGTTTTCCAAAGCATGTTTAGCAACCTTCATCATCACCCCTTTCCAACCAAATATAGCATTTAGAATTATAAGGTGACATTTTCATAGAATCATAGAATCATAGAGTTGGAAGAGACCACAAGGGCCATCGAGTCCAACCCCCTGCCAAGCAGGAAACACCATCAGAGCACTCCTGACATATGGTTGTCAAGCCTCTGCTTAAAGACCTCCAAAGAAGGAGACTCCACCACACTCCTTGGCAGCAAATTCCACTGTTGAACAGCTCTTACTGTCAGGAAGTTCTTCCTAATGTTTAGGTGGAATCTTCTTTCTTGTAGTTTGGATCCATTGCTCCGTGTCCGCTTCTCTGGAGCAGCATAAAACAACCTTTCTCCCTCCTCTAGGTGACATCCTTTTATATATTTGAACATGGCTATCATATCACCCCTTAACCTCCTCTTCTCCAGGCTAAACATGCCCAGCTCCCTTAGTCGTTCCTCATAAGGCACCGTTTCCAGGCCTTTGACCATTTTGGTTGCCCTCCTCTGGACACGTTCCAGTTTGTCAGTGTCCTTCTTGAACTGTGGTGCCCAGAACTGGACACAGTACTCCAGGTGAGGTCTGACCAGAGCAGAATACAGTGGCACTATTACTTCCCTTGATCTAGATGCTATACTCCTATTGATGCAGCCCAGAATTGCATTGGCTTTTTTAGCTGCCGCGTCACACTGTTGGCTCATGTCAAGTTTGTGGTCAACCAAGACTCCTAGATCCTTTTCACATGTACTGCTCTCAAGCCAGGTGTCACCCATCTTGTATTGTTTTCACTTAGTTCTATTTTTTTTCTTTAAAAAAAACATGTGTTTTTATTCTCCCTCCATGGTTTCTCATACATTTTATTCGTTGTTTACTTTTTAGTTCATGATAGTCATTTTGTAATTTCTCCGTTGTGATTTACAGGTCACCATTTTGTGAAAACAAGTCCTAGCAACATCCCTAATTCTGAATTGTCTTGTACTCCTGAGATCATGTGAGCTAAAAACTTTTTTTAATGTAAATGAGAGATGTTTTATGTGACTGAATACCCCCCATTTCATTTGTACTGACTTCAAATATTCATATTATTATTATTATTATTATTATTATTATAAAAAGCATTAGCAGTGATGTTGTAATGGTGAAATTCAAAGCACAATTATAGAAAAACAAAATAACCAACTCAGGAACCGAAACAAAGCAAATAAAAAGATCATCTATGGGACCACCATTCCATGTATGGTTTCAATTTCTGTTTTGTTTTCATAATAAAGGAATTAATCAGAGGCTAGAAAAAAGCCAAAATCAGATGATCTACATGCAATTTTGTAGAAGGACAGGAATGGATTTGCAAATCCCTGTTCATGGCTTGGCCCAACACATTTTGCTGTCTGAGGCCGATCAGCAAATACTACTCACCACCCCAGTGAAGGTGTATAATAATACCCAGGCCTGATCAATATATTTTGGCACCTGAGGCAGAAAGTCCTACAAGAGCATCTCCCCATCCTACTGGTAATAAAAATACAATAATAATAAATTAAGTAACTACCGGTAACCATTTTCTGCCCTTTCATGACACCCCAAACAGTGGCCTGAGGCAGACACCACACTCTACCTAATGGCAGGGCTGATCCTGTCCCTGTTCAGCCATTAACTTTACTGAACTGCTTTGGGCATGTCACTATCCTTTAATCAGACCAACCCCACCCCCCCACCCCGCTCCAGCAGGGAAGAAACATCTCCCATATCTTCAGGGACATTTTAACAATGTCCATCTTGCCGTTAAAGGAAAGGTGACAAAGTGTTGTTGTTTTCTCTGCCCCTGCTTCTCCCAACAAACAAAACAAAACCTTGCCACAATTTCAAATAGTGTTATAATGATCCCCCCCCCCCCCAGATTTTCCCACCCGCATCACCATTCTCCATCAATTAATAGGGAAAGAAAATGCATTCAAAAATTATCGAAGAGAAAAGAAAATCTTGGTGGAATTATTATGGGTAGGGTGCAGGATTTTTAATTGTGCTTAACTCACTTTGGTGGTGACTGAGGGATGTTGCTGTATATCCTTCTTTCATTCAACAAATCATCTCATCAATGGTCTGCGCTCTGCAGTCTTCCCATGTGCCCAAGCTTCAGTTAAAGCCTAGAGGAAGATATCATGAGGTAACACCTCCTAAGGGGCTTCTTTGGACTGGGAAGTAAAGGCAGCCAGGGAGGCTGCAGAGTGATGGAGAAATACTTAAAGGAAGGAGAAATACACATACCACCCCTGGCTACTTCACAACAAACCACCTGGTATTGTTTAGGGGAGGGGGGTTCTAACCATCTACATTAGAGAATCTTTCAATGAGCCCAGAGACTGGCAGGGATGGGAAGAGAAAGTTTAATTTTTAACTTCCTTACAATAAATTATCTTAGGATCCAAACCAGAATGGTTATTTTTTGTGGTGATGTGGGGCTGGGTGAAGACCATGATGAGCTGAAGGGACTTTGAAACAAGACTCCAAGGCTGACTGATGGCATAAGATTCCCTACATATAAGTACAAGTGCTATTGATTAACTATAACCATCCTTAATCAACAGCCTCTGAAGCAACCTTGGCTGTCATTCATCTTGTTAACAAGGCCTTACATGAAGAACTAGAGTTGACCTTCCCCATTAGTATGAGTTTCACCTCCGTTCTTCAAGGATTACATTTAGCTAACCCAGTCTCCAGTTTTCTGCTGTGCACCAGACAGCTTTCTAGAAATACTTTATCTGCAACAACCACAGAACTGCTGTTTAGTTCATCGTTGGTTAACAGCCTGCAACAGGAAAGGGTCTCAAAGGAAAACATATTGATCCAACTCAGGAGTAAAATACAAGATTTAAAAAGCACTGAAAGGAATTTCATGCAAAGGAGAAACAGGGTGAACCACAGGAGCTTACAGAGAGGAAGGATTCAAATCAAGGGTTAGCTATGGGGCAGCCAGCGTCAATGCCGCAAGTTAAGATGGCTTTGCCTGCACAATTTTCAGATCATTTTCTTCTGTCTGGTGCTAACCACAAAATTCCATATGACTGTAGCAAAGGCTGGTCTGTGGCAAGAATTCTTTTAATTGCCTAGCCTTGGGGTTGCATGCTATCCCTTCCTCACTTAAAAGAAACCAAACAAACATGTAAATAGAATGGACATTTGGATACCCATCTCCTATTTTACAGCTGAAATTTTAGACAACGAATATAGCTTTCTTTTTTTAATTTAACTATTTTTGATCTCCGGGCTGTAAAACGGAAGATAGAGAAGTAAACCATTTGCCTTTAACCTGTGTATATTATGCCACCATGTGTATCATATGCTTCTAGTTACAGTTGAAGAATTAACCATAATTAATTCTAGGAAATGTCCTTTTAAGTTTGGCATTAGCTAATCATATGGGCATCTGTGGACCAGCAAAGCAGATTCAGATATATGGCTGCCTTCATCAAATTATACAGTAGAAATGAATTGGGCTATAACAGCCTCTCTAGAAATGATTCAAGCCAGACCATGTTCTTGTCAGCATCACCCACCTGGAGGTAGACATTGCATTCTTCTATATTTCACAGTTTTATAGGATTTATCATATGCATATAAGAAAGTGAAAGAGACCTATAAGTTCAGCATTACCTTTCCCTTCATACTAATGGAAACATGTGAATGCCCAAATAGCACTTTAAATGTGCTGGCAAGCTATTATATAAGTGCCCCATTCTGGTGGCCTCCAAATGTTGTTGGATCATCAGCCTTGACCATTGACTACGCTGGCGAGGAATGATGGGAATAGGAGTCCAACAATATCTACATTGGTTACACCTGCTCTATATTAATTCACACACTGTAAGAGCACTGCTGCAGTCATGCAGGTTTTCGAATTGAAATACAAAATATGTTCATTCATTCATTCATTCATTGGGGGTATAATAGGAAACTACTGTGAACCCTATCTATCATGCACTGAATTCAAGAACTTTACAGAATTAATTCCCTTGTCACAAATGTCACGACTATAAAAACTGTTACTTGTGAACTATAAAAACAAAAGTGTTCCCAGTTGTCCAGACCATTTCAG